TTTATTTTGAAGGTAAAGCTAGTGGGGCATGAGAAACGGTAGTCAAGGATGACTCCTAGATTTTTAATTTGAGCAAATTGCAAGATGCCAGCCCAGGAAAGGCTACAGCAGGGACAGGTTTAAGGGAGAAGATCAGTTCGGTTTGGGACATGTTGGGTTAGAGATGTCTATTCAACATCCAAAGAGAAATGCCAAGTAGGCCATTGGAATTATGAGTCAAAATTTAGGAGAAGGGCCTGGCTAGAGATAGAATTTCTCAATCGTATTGGAAATTCTCAGCATATAGGTGGAATTTATAGCCCGGGGACTTGGTGAAATCATCTGAGGAGGGAGCACAGAAAGGGGAATCCTGAGGCAGCCAACATGAAGGAATTGTGGAGAGGTAAGGAGAATCAGCACAGAAGATAGAAGAGGAGTAATCAGAGGTAGGCGGAAAACCGACAGACTACTGTGTCCTGGAAGCCAAAGCAAGAAAAAGGAGTCAACAGTATGGAATGCTCCTGACAGGTCAAATAAAATGTGAATGGGAAATGGGAACTAACCACTGGATTTAGCAACATGGAGGTCACTGCCGCCTTGATGAAAATGGTTTCCATGGCACAATGAGAATAGAAGGCTGGCTGGGGTGGGCTTCAGAAAGAATGTATGGGGTAGAAGTGGAGACAGTGAGTATCAACAGCTCTTTCAGGAGTCTTGCAAAAGGGGAGCTGGCAGGGTAAGTGGGATCAAACAAAGCTTTTCAGAAAATCAACCTTATTAAGGCATAATTTACATGCAATAAATTTGAAGTATACAATTTAATGATTTTTGACAAATGTGTGCATCCATGTAACCACCACATCAAGATATATATCACTAACATCATCCCAAAAGGCTCCTTGTGCCCCTTTTGTCAATGTCTCCCATCATCACCTCCCCAATCCCCAGCTCCAGGCAGCCACAGACCTGCTTTCTGCCTCTGAGATTAGTTTTGCATTTTCTAAAACGTCGTATAAACTGAATCATATAGGATGCGCTCCTGTGTCTGGCTTTTTTTGCTCAGCATATATTTGAGAAATATCCATGTTGCTTAACTATGAGTAGTTTTCCTGTTGAGTTATATTTCATTGTATACATATACCACAATTTGATTACCCATTACTTGTTGATGGACATTTGAGTTGTTTCTAGTTTTTGCCCATTATGATGAAAAATGGGATGAATATTTGTATACAAGTCTTTGTGTGGACATCCATTTCCTTTCTACTGGGTAGATATCAAGGAGTAGAATTGTTGGATCATTTAGTGATGTATCTTTAATTTTATAAGAACTACCAAACTGTTTTCCAAAATGACTATATAATTTCACATTCTCGCCAGCAAGGTATGAGCTCCAGTTACTCCACAGGTTTATCAATACCTGATATTGTCCGTCTTTAAATTTTAGAGGAAGTTTTTGTTGTTTGTTTTTTAATAGACTTATCTTTGGAATAGCTTTAGATTCATAGAAAAGGTGAAAAGACAGTACAGGGTAGAGAGTTCCCGTATGCCCTTCACCTAGCTTTCCCTTATGTATATTTGTCAAAACTGAGAAATTCACATTGGTATAATACTAATAGCCCAACTATAAACTCTGATCAGATTTTTTTCAATTTTCTCACTGATGTCTTTTTTCTGTTCCAGGATACCACTCTGCATTTTGTCATCATGTCTCAGTCATCCCTATCTGTGATCATTTCTTAGTCTTCCCTTGTTTATCATGACCTTAAGGGCTTTGAAGAATACTGGTCATGTATTCTGGAGAATGTTCCTCAATTTGGGTTTATCTCATGTTTTCTTATTACTCAATAGATTTGAAGAATACCACAGTTGGGAAGTGCCCTTCTCATGAGATCGTATCAGCAGGTGCATGACAGTAACATGACTTATCAGTGGTGATGTTAACCATCATTTGGTTAACAAGGTATGTGCTGGGTTTCTTGCCTCTAAAGTTACTTTTTCCCTTTCCATACTCTACTCTTTGGAAGTGAGTCACTAAATCCAGTCCACTCTCAAAGAGAGTGGATTTAAGCTCGGCTTCCTGGAGGGGAGAGTATCTACATATGCTGTTTGGAATTCCTCTATAGAGAAGATTTTTCCCTTCTCATTTATTTATTTGTTGAATCACTTATAATGAAGGCATTTTTTTAAAGATGGAAAAAATAAGAGGTATTTATTTGTGTGTTGATGGAAATGATCCAATGGAGAGCAAATTATTGTGAGTTTCTTTAGTTTCTACAGCAAGTGTTGAAAATTTTTTTCACTGTTAGCTTTCCACCAGGCCTTTCCTCATGTCTTTTACAAATGCACTTCTTGGCCAGGCATGGTGGTTCACACCTGTAATCTCAGCACAGGAGGCCAAGGCGGGAGGATCACTTAAGGTCAGGAGATCAAGCCCAGCCTTGGCAACATGGCAAAACTGTCTTCCCAAAAATTTATAAAAATAAAATAAATAAAAATTTTCTTTTACCCACAATTCCGTTTCCTTAGGCCCTGTAGGAGGTCCGCTGTTAATGTCAGGGCAGACACTTCACAGCTGGCTGGTGGAACCAGGTGTCAGTTCTGGTGATCTGGCAGAAGTCCTTGGTACCTGGTGGCAGGGGTCGCCTCTCTCCCCAGCACTCACTCTTCACACCTCCTCATCTCCTCAGCCACTCACAGGAGTTCAGTGCAGGGCTGGGGAAGGGCCTGCGTCTTCCTCTGGGTAGGAAAGAGCCAGGTATCCATAATGGGGAGCTGGGACAGCTATAGGCCTCTGGAGGAGACTGGAGGGGCTAAGGGTCCGTGGGGGATAATTCAACGGAAAGGAAGCAGCAGATCGAATTTCTTGGCTCCAACTCAGAATCCAGAAAAATGGGTCCTGTGTTTCTTCTGTCCCTTTGTTGGGAGGATGGAACTCTGAGGACAATGGTCCCAGCCACAAGCCCAGCTGGGGGCTCAGGAAAGACAGGTCTGAGCACCCCAGGATGCAGGAATGAGATATTCATAACCTTAGAGACCCAGGTTAGAAATTCAATGGTGGAAGTGACAGCCCGGGGAGAGGCCTAGGACAGATCCTGGATGGAACTTGGACCACTACCAGTGGCTTACCACCCCATTCCCACCCCACCGTCCCCATCCCCACCACACAGAGACCTCTAATCTGGCCTCCAGCTTGGGAGCTCCCCACCCACACACCTGGCCCTTGCAGGGTGTGGAAGTGGTGAAGAGAGAGTGGTGGTGACAAAGGTGACATCTCCTGGGCAGCAGAAATGGTCTCCAGGCATGTATTTTGCAGAGGCTAGCAGAATGGCATCTATATAGATGTGTATATTTGTATATGAATCAATCCACACCCTGCGGTGACACCAGAAAAACCTGTCACCATTGAAAGGAAGGTGGTAAATTCCCTCTCATTCAGAGAATACTTTTCTCAACCAGCTGCCCACGGGTTTCTCATCAAGATAGTAATTCATTGTACAGGGAAAGGAACTCACCATGTGGAAATTCCCACTTCCTCGGAGAACAGTGTGCACAGTGTTAACCTTGGTGAGTAAGAATTCCTCCTCCCCTCACACGCCTGATGGCAGCTTTCCTCTCGGAAGCCTGTGGTCACTCTCAGTCTTATCCACATCTGAAAAGTGACGTAGGGGCAAATCTGCCAAGCACCAACAACCCGAGCGACTGGAGTAGATATTGTCATCTTTTTGGTCTGCCCAGCAACCCCTCTGACAATAGCACTTCAGTTTTCCTTTGGGGGAAAGCGGCTCTTCTTCCCTCTTTTCATGTGATTCTGGTAGGGGAGGGAGTATGTGACCCAAGCCTGGCCATCACGGAGGTACATCTCTCTGGCCACAGCGAAGGACATATAGCCCAAGCTGGGCCAGCCAGTCACCTTTGGCCAACACTGCTAGACTGTAATGCAGGGCAGAGCCTGTCTGAGGATGGAAAATTAAGAGATGGACAGAGGCCTGAAAGCAACCTCAGAGCTCCTGGGTCCAGCTGGTCTTTTTAGTTATAAGCAATTTATAAGCAACTTTCTTTCTTTCCTTCCTTCTTCCCTTCCTCCCTCCCTCCTTCTTTCCCTCCCTCCCTCCCTTTCTTCCTTTCTTCCTTTCTTTCTTTCTTCCTTCCTTCCTTCCTTCCTTCCTTCCTTCCTTCCTTCCTTCCTTTTCTATTGAATGAAATTTATAGGAGGTCACTGATTTGGGCTGAACTCCTGCAGGAGGCCTCAGTGGACCAAACCAAGATGGAGTCACTCATGCTAAGTTCAATATCACCAAACTGAAACTAAGCCATCAGACCTTCCCAGAACTCAAGACAGAGAGAGATAATATGCAAATCCCCACACAGGCCAGTTGTAACCAGCAGGATAAGGAAGTCCCCTCTACTTTAATCTTCCTAAGGAAAGTAACCTGAAGTAACCTGAGCTTACCAATCTGCTTTTTGTTCCCTGTGTCTGCTTTCTTCACCCTTTTCTGCCTAAAAAGCCAAGCTTCTCTGTTCAGCTCATCAGAACACTTTTCCTAAAGTTTTAGAGGAGATGTTGCCTCAATTAATGAATTACAAATAAAAACTAATTCAATCATTTAACTAAATTTGTTGTAATTTTGCCTTTTGACATTTCTCCCTTTTTCTTTCCTTTTCTTTTTCTTTCTTCCCCCCGTCCCCACTTCTCTCTTTCCTACTTATTTTGGCTCAGGTCAGTTTGAATTTGGCTTTTGTGTCTTGCACTAAAATTTTTCCAAAAAATACCCTAATGGCATTGTCACCTCACATGCCTGTCCGTCCTCCAACATTGGTTGAGAAAGGCTTAAGGTCTCCGTTTTTGAGTTGTCACAAGGAGACTGAACCGTCCCAACCCACAACTTCTTTTGTCCCGTAAAGTGTAAAACAAGAATATCTTTTTAAGATTGAATACATGTATTTTTCTATTATACAAGTCATACAAATATTTAATTTTAAATGACAGAAAGGGGAAAAATCAGTCATAGTCCAGCAACTGTGATTTTAGCTTATTTTATTAATTGCTTATTTCCTTACAAATATTTCCCTACACGTTTATATAGCCACAGGCTCCACGCATACAAAATGTACGCTGCTATGATCATCAGAACCATCAGCAAGCAGGCATTGTCATCAGTACTTCTTTCTTTCTGTGGTTTCTCAGTCTCTTTTCTTTCTTTTTCTTAAAAAAACAAACAAACAAACAAACTTTTTTTTTCCCCTGGTCAACAGGGCCTGGGCAACATGGTGACACTCTGTCTCTTTAAAACAAAGAAGAAAAAAATTAGCCAGGTGTGGTGGTGCATGCCTGTGCTCCCAGATACTTGAGAAGTTGAGATAGGAGGATTGTTTGAGCATGGGAGGTCAAGGCCGCGGTGAGCTGTGTAAAATAAAAATAAAAACTAAAAAAGAGGAAAGAATAAACTTAGTTTTTTGAAGAGACACTATGTTGCTCAGGCTGACTTCAAATTCCTGGCCTCAAGCAATCCTCCCACCTCAGCCTCCCAAAGCACTAATGATTACAGGGATGAGCCACACTCAGCCCAACGTCTCAATTTTCCATGACTTTTCTTAGTGGAGGTAGAGTTGTGAGATGGGAAACTACGTCAGTCACCTACAACAATGTCAACACACCTGTTAGGTGGGAGCTGTTCCGTCACCTGGAGTTTTTATACTGAGGCCTGGGTCCCGCCTCCAGAGATTCTGCCTCAGTCGTTCCGGGGTGGTTTCCGATGAACCTTTGCGAGTGGCTCCTGGGTGACACCCACGCTGGCAGGCCTCAATGTGTAGGAATGCTTTTGCTATCTAGATGATAAGCATATTCAAGTTTGAGAAGCCAAGATATAGATAAGTCCTGATTTCAGTTTAGTAGTCATTTACTAAACACTGATTCATGCACCTGTGGTTTTCAGAAGCATACATTTCTCTTGGGGACCAAGTTTCCAAAGGGTATGACCCACAGCTTCATGCCTAAAGCCCTTGGGAACTGCCAACTTCACATAACCTAAATGGGGAAAACATTAGAAAAGCGTTTCTTTCACTATTGTCTCATAATCACCCTTCAAATGGGTCAAGGTTAAGGGCAGGCTGTAGGGGAGCTGGAGCCTTTGGTGCAGTTTCATAGTTCTCGAGTGTTGGGGACTATGCCAGGGATGCAGTGATGAATAACCCAAAACATGATCCCTGCCCTCTAAGAGCTGACGACCAATGAGAAGATGACCACAAAACAAATAACTGCTACACAACTGGGAAATAGCTGGGGCAGAGAAAGGCACAGCATGCCCTGGGAGCAAAGAAGAGGCACCTAGCCAGCCCTTGGGGACCTGGTGAGACACCCTGGAAGCAGAGCTGAGGGAGGGTTAGCCACATGGAGGAAAGTGGGAAGGGCATCCCTGGCAAAGGGAAGAGCAAAGGCAAAGCAAGGAGATACAAAACATCATGGTGCCCTTGGGTGTGGAATAGTGAGCAATGGAGTGGGAAGGCGAGGTGGGGCCAGGCCCAGACACCTGCAATTGGACGGGCAGGTGGAGCCTCTGATGTCTCTAGTCCTCAGCCCAACATGGGGCCAGCTTTGGACCATTTGAGAATTTTCCACCAGTCCGCTAAGTGGAGTGACTCGGCTTCTCTGATTACTTGTGGTTTCACCTCAAAGGCACCACATTTTGTCAATAAATCCCCAAGCCTGGTCTAGGCCTGCACACACCTGCCTGTAACCACACATTTTTCTAAGGACAAGGACAATGTATTGGTTAAGTTGCTAATAGCAAACATATATAGCGGTGGCTTACATGAAATATAGGCATTTTTCCCTGGGAAACAGAACAGGATGCATACAGTGGTCCCATGGTCAAGGTTAAGTATGTCCAGCATTCTAATCCACCACCCTTAACTCTCTTGCTACCAAAAGTGGGACCATGGTCCAGCAGCAAGTACCTCACTGGGTGCTTGTTAGAAACACAGAATGAACTCTACTCCAGACCTACTGAACCATGGTCTGCCTTTTAACAAATCCCCAAGTGATTTATTTGCTAACTGGTAGTTGAACAAGTTGGCCTTATTACTGGTTGCAACGAGGAAGACACCATGGGGGAACCATTTCAGTAAAAAGGTGTTCGAAAGGACTTATAGGCTTTGGGCTTTGGTTAGGTGAATTTGGGGAGGGTCTAGGAGGGGAGGGCTTGCTCTGCATTGTCTGCTGTCTGGAAGTGGGACAATTCTGTGGCTGGGTATGTTAGTAAATCTTATCTTTAAGGACAGCAGACAAGATCAAGCCTATAGTTGTAGTTGATAAGGAGGCCCTTGTCACTTAATGAGCCAGGAGGGCGTGTGTTTAGTATTTTCTGGGGTCTTTTGTTTGTGCTTAGACAGAGTTCTGAAGGGGTCTCTTTTGACCTCTTCATCATAGTTGCAGAGTGGCAACTGACAACAGTGTTTGTGAAAATAGCCAGGCAAGCTTTTAATAAGATTAAGCCCTAGCTCAAAGTGTCAGGCCATTTCCCGGATGTCAGGGGATACCTTTTCTTTTCTCAGCATTAAAGGTTGAGAGTCAATGTTTTAGTTTGTGGCTTCCTTTTTCAAGGTTGCCTCATGGCCCAGTATGATTGCTAGAACTCCAGCCATTACATTAGTGTTTTACGGTTAAGAAAGAGGATGGGGAGAGTGAACAGCACATTTCTTAGATCCCTTTAAGAAGCTTTTAAGGCCCGGTGCAGTGGCTCCAGCCTGTAATCCCAACACTTTGGGAGGCTGAGGTGGGAGTGTCAGAGGCATTTGAACCAGAGGGACTCCATCTTGAGTAGGGGCTGGGTAAAATAAGGCTGAGACCCATTAGGCAGCATTCCCAGAAGGTTAGGCATTCTAAGTCATGGGATGAGATAGGAGGTCAGCACAAGATGCAGGTCACAAAGACCTTGCTGATAAAACAGGCTGCTGTAAAGAAGCCAGCTAAAACCCTCGGGATCTGGATCAGGACCCCTTTCCTGTAACAGGAGCATAACTTGAGCCTAGGAATTCAAAACCAGCCTGGGCAACATGGCAAGACCCCATATCTACAAAAAAAAAAAAAAAAGCCAGGCACGGTGGCACACACCTGTGGTCACAACTACTCAAGAGGCTGAGATGGGAGGATCACTTGAGCCCAGGAGGTGAAGGCTGCACTGAGCCATGTAAGCCAAAAATAAAATTCTAAGTCCCCTCAACCATCTGAATGGACCCTTCCTCTTAGTCAAGGGCATTCCAAAGTTAACCTGAAAAACTAGTTCAGGCCATGATGGGAAAGGGGAGTCAGACATGCCTCATTCTACCCTCCTCCCTTCAAAACCCCTCATCATAACCCCGACATTCTTTTCTATGGATAATAACTCTTTCAACCAATTGCCAATCAGAAAATCTTCGAATCCACCTAAGACTTGGAAGTCCCAGTTTTCAGTTGTCCCACCTTTCCAGACCAAACCAATGTACATCTTATACATATTGATTGATGCCTTAAGCTCCCTAAAATGTATAAAACCAAGTTGGGCACCAACCACCTTGGGTACATGCTGTCAGGATCACCTGAGGTTAAGGGTGTGCCCTTAGCAAATAAGCTTTCTAAATTGATTGAGACCTGTCTTTGACACTTTTGATTTTATAGCCGTGATGCTGCCGCTGCACTCCAGCCTGGATGACAAAGTGAGACTCTGTCTCAAAAAAAAGAGAAGCTTTTAGGACCCCAGCCCCAATAATTTTCATTTATACCTCATTGGCTGTCCCTAGTTTCAAGAGATTTGGGAAGTATAGTCTTTTACTTGGATGTATTGCTGCCTGCCACCCCCACCCCCATCCCAAATCAAGTACTTTTGGTAAAGCAGAAAGAGAAATTGGGAACTGGTAGGTGACTGACAGTCTCTATCTCAGACAGGGAAGCCAGGGCTCAGGAATGGGGAAATGCCAGGCCCTGGAGGGTGAAGATTTTATCTTCTCTTCTTTATCAGTGCTTAACATTCCTGCAACCAGAACTGCCCTAAGCTTCCTTGGTAAAAGAGAAACAACCTGTCTGCACTGTCTGTAAGAAATGTTTATATGGCAGAATTCCCTTCTCAGGTTTTCTATCCTGCTGGCTGGGAAAGTAGGAGTGATATATAAATGTAAGAGTCAAAACAGCCCCTAAGGCCATGGCCACATTGGGAGAACTGTAGGGATAAAGAGGATCGGTCTGCTCTACAGGAAGGCTTTATCCCATCCTTAGGGAAGGTGAAGGATCCTTAAAACAAGGCAGTCAGAGCTAGTAAGAAGGAAGCCTGGCTTCCCTTTTCATTCCACAAACCAGCACAACTCCGAAAAACGAGTTTCAGGCACCATGTGACCGGCTGCAGTGACTGAGGCGCCCTTGGAAAGGGTGGCCATGACACCTTCCACTTACCCACCCCATCCTCCGCTCCCGGTTCTGGATCCCCTTTCGTCCCCATGGTAATCCCTTTCTGCAGGAAGGGAAACTGAGGCTTAGCAAGGGTTAAGCAAGTTGCTCAAGATCATACAGCTTCTAAACAGCAGAGCCCAGCTTTCCACCCAGTTTGACCCGTCTCAGCCCCTGCTCCTTCCGCTCCCTTTCACAAGAGGCAGGCGCTGGCCTAGACTTTTAGGGCCCAGCTCTGAGCCAGGCGATCACTCCTTTTCCTGCAACCTCAGCTTCATCGCCTTCCAAGCCATCCTCCCACTTTCCAGGTGAGGGTCTTAGGGTGGGGCAGGAAGAGACTAAAGGATGAAATAGAATTGTAAAAAGGTGTCCAGCTGACAAAACTGCCTTTTGCAGCCATTTATACCCATTTCCCCTAATTCGGGCAACTCAGAATGTGGGAAAAGCATTCAGCTGTTGCAAGAGTGTTATTTTACTCATTACAGAGAACAATTAGTTTGAATCTATGAGAACTGTCTAGAAGTCACATGTCATTTTCACTTTCACCTATTAACGCTGAAGCTTACATTCAGCTGTTTAAAAAGCTTCCCAGTGCAGGGGTAGCTGCCAGCTAGCAGCCCGCAGGCAGGCTGGGTCTCAGGCCTGTGCCCCAAGTCACACTGCTCTATGGAAACATAGACCCAATCAGCAAGCTGCAGTGCTGGGCTCAAACCTGAATATATTTTGAAAGAAAGAAAGGCCTGCCAAAAGGACACAGTGAACCAATAGGAAACAATCAACATCTGTCATTATCTGGACTCTCCCCCTGCTTGGGAGCTGCGTTCAGCACGGTCAGGAAGCCTGGAAAGGGAGGAAGGCAGCTGAGAGAAAATGGAGTTCCTGGGCCTGGGCAAGACCCCCTCGCCTCTCTGCCTGCCTCACTCCCAGGCTCTGCAGTGGGCCCGGAGCCGGAGCCAGGACTTGCCTACAAGGGGCATCTGTGAAGTTCTTTGAGCCAAAGGCCAAGGCTGCTGCCCCTATGATCAGGGATTCCGACAGCAGAGTCCCCAATGTCCTGGCTACTATGTTAGTAGAGTCATGTTTCAGTTTACCGGGTACAGAGGAGACCCACCGCATGGGGCCAAGCAGAGGGGATGTGTGTGTGTGTGTGTGTGTGTGTTTGTACACACCTGCAGTTTTGGGGAGTCAGGGTATTTGCATAACACAGATATCTTTGCAGATACCAGACAAACAGGAAGTTTCAGAACCTAGTCCGTTTCCTTTCACTGTGAATCAGTAGCCGCTTTTTTCTCACATAGAAATGATGACAATCACAGGGTAGGCCACGGACGCGGAGTTCAGGCGAACAGCACAAGTGCCTCCGAAGTCTCCTCTGGTCAAGGGACTCCCTGTATTCCCCACCCTTGCACTCACTCCTGTGGCCATGGCCCCGCTGCTGTCTTCCTAGAGCGCTTCAAGACACCTCTGAAAATCCCAGCCACACACCAGGAGCACAACAGACTCCCGCACACAACCTCTGTTACACTAACGCTTGGAATGGGGTCCAGCCACGAGGCTTGGGGGAGCCCTCACCCCCGAGTTCCCGGCGAGACTCTTGTCACAGAGAGGGATTGCAGAGTAACAGGCACACCCTGGACTTGGCCCTGGAATGCCTGAGCCCAGAATCCCATTCTACCCAGCAAGACCTTGGGCACGCAGCCTCCCCACTGAGACTGGGCTTCCCTGTCAGTTAAATGAGGCTGATAATGGCTACCCTGCAGGTTTGGGGTTAACATTACACACAAAAGGGAGGAAGATTAGGTAGCAAATCAAAGCACGGGCTTTGGCCGGGCACAGTGGCTCACACCTGTAATCCCAGCAATTTGGGAGGCTAAGGCAGGAGGATCATTTGAGCCTAGGAGTTCCAGACCAGCCTGGGCAACACAGTAAGACCCTGTCTACAAAAAATTACAAAATTATCCAGGCATAGTAGTGTGTACCTGTAGTCCCAGATACTCATGAGGCTGAGGAAGGAGGATCACTTGAGCCCAGGAGTTTGAGGTTACAGTGAGTTATGACCACACCACTGCACTCCAGCCTGGGTGACAGAGTGAGACCCTGTCTCAAAAAAAAAAAAAAAAAAAAGAGCGCAAGAGAGAGAAAGTGAAAAAACTCAGGCTTTGGAGTCAGATACTTGAGTTCAAATCTCAGCTTTACCATGTATTGGCTATAAGACTTCGGGTAGATTACCTAAGTTTCTTAAGTCTTAATTTCCCCATCTATAAATGGAAAAAAGTGGAAATAAGAGTGTCTACCTGAGAGTCTATTGGGAAGGCTAAATGATATAATCACTTAGCACCAAGCGCAGTGCCTGGCTCACAGGAAACTCTGAATAATATGAAGCAGACTTCTCACCACCTCCTCCCCTCCTCCTTCTTCCCACCCACTCACTGCCGCAAGAGGCATGAGTTAGGGACCGCAGCAGCTCTCCTTCCCCAGTGTGTGCCCAGAACCTGGGCTGGCCCCTAAAAAGGCTTAATAAATCAGTTAAATAACAAATGGATGCTCCTGGTTCATAGCATGTGCCAAGGAAATATATCTATAAAAACATAAATTTAAACAAAAGCCAAACACCAAATCCCACCCTCTCTGTTTTTGAACTTCCTATGAGGGGACAGTATAGAAGAATGACGACAGACATCACAAGCTTTAACAGCAGTCAGGTCTGGTTTGCATCCTAGCTCTGCCACTCACAAGTGGTGTGTCCTTGAAGTTCTCTCAGCCTCCCTTTCCTCATCTGTAACATGGACATCATATAGTCACTCAGTCACACCGGGTTGCTTTTGGTTTAAATGAGATAATGCATGCAAAGCACTTAACACAATGCTCATCTTGCAATAAGCATGTGGAAGAATGTGTCAGATAAATCCCACCCTCAGGACCTTAGAAGAAGATGATGTTCTTTTTTCAGGACAAGCCTTAGGGCCGATCTCGCTTGTGCCTCATTTCTCTTGGTCCTCTCCTTCCCAGAAAAACTCCCTCTCCCTCCTGAAGCCTAGTGGTCTTCTCTTGTTGAAGAGCTGGTGCTCCTACCCACTGTGGGACTCCTGAAGAAGACAGTGAGCTACAACCCATGCCCTTCTACCCACCACCTCACCCCAGCCACAGTAGGAAAGTAGGGGTTGCAAGAGGCCCGTCTCTGTGCAAGGAAGACAGCACACTCACTCAGGCATTTCTCCAGGGCATGTTTGTTTCACTGGCCAGTGCTCCAGGGGGAAGTCCGGGGTGCCGTGGAGGTGCAGGCCAGCTGTGAAGATCTGGGATCAGACAGCCTGGCTTGGAATCCAAGGCTCTGCCACACACGAGACTGTGTGATCTCAGGCAAGTCGGCTACCCTCTCTTAACCTCGATTTCCTAATCAGTAAAATGGGAACCAATCCTAGGACCCAAGGCCGATGGTGAAAATATTCAATAACCAGCTGAGGCACTAACCTATTAAATGGCAGGCAGCCAGTACAAGGGTGCACCTGCTAAATATTAGCCCTGCTCACCTCTCCTGCAGAGGTTGCTGTGGCACCTGATATGTTGCGAACACTCCTAAACATTTGCCACTATTTTTACTATTTTGATGTTGAGCTCATGTCCTGCAGTTCCTAGCACAGCCTCCAGTGGAGGGCAGTTCAGTGAGGGTGGTGACCCTAAACAGACCTGGCTTGGTTCTCCCCAAGGCTAACTAAGGCTTATTTCCCTTCTTGCCTCCCTATGTTCAGTAAAAAGTCACAGAACTGCTGGGGATGGGATGAGACCTTAGTCTTACCTGTCCAAGTAAATCTTGGACAACATTCCTTGCTGCCCATGGATGGGAGCTGTTTTCCCCATGAATATTCTTTGTACATTTCATCACAGCAACATAGGAGCCAAATATCTAATGGCCCCATCACTGGGTACATATTTGCAGTACAGACCAAACCAGGGTGTAGCTAACATATCTCACCTGGGGGCCTCTTGCCTTGTCTGGAAGGAATGCCTGGAGATGTTGCTTGTGCACGTACCGCTGGACAGGTTTCCCTATCAGGGGCCAGAGGTGCTGCCCCTCATGTTATCACTCCTTGGACCTGTGTTTTTAAATGGGCTCCCAGGGCTTTCAGGGCAAGGAGGCAGCCCTCCATAGCAGCAGGAGTTTAAGCTCAGCTATCCCCAGCTCTGCATCCTGTGCCCCAACAATGCAGAGCCACAAATATCAAGGAAACCAAGCCTAGCTGCCCAGAGATCAAGATCATCTCTGCCCCCAGGGAAAGCCGGCTGGAGTCCGAATCTGGTAGCAGCCAGGACAGCTGGTCACCCAGGGAGGCCTGTGATTCCCCGCCTGGGCTGTGACAGCCCACTGGGCCCTCCTGTTGTGAGGATTAATAGCAACCATCCCTCTCCTGCAGTCCCAGCAGTACCAGCAGCCCAGGCGGCACAGCTATGAAGTCCCCTCCAGTCATCTCATAAAAGATGCTCCCACTGCAGATAGCATGGAAGCCAGCCAGGGAGGGGGATGACTAAGCCTCAGAGCTCTAGCTTGGGAAATGCAACTGACATGATTGCTGCCCACCAAAGCCAAAGAACAGCATGCAAAACTAAACGGGATTTTCTGGTAGCTGTTTTATCCACAGATTTTAAAAAATTAGAATCGCAACCTTCGTGAACACAGCCTAACAGGAATCCATACATGGGTTACGGGAGCGCCTGTATCAGTCCTTGGCTATGTCATGACTGTGCACAATACAACATAGCAGTGTGCTCACCAGGCTGCTGCTTCTTGCGTGTAAGCTAGGTTTTCCCTCGGTCAGGTTTTTGTATATATTTTCTCACCTATGATTTATCCCTTCCCAAAAACCCATGAGGAAGACATTATATATTAAGAACAATGAATTGGTAACATTTATTAAACTTCTTCAGTGTGCCAGGGACTGTGCTCCAAGAACCTCTAATGAAGTAAGTACTATTGTTGCCCATTTCAAGGATGAGGAAGGAGAGAACTGGGACCCCATCCCAGATCTGTTGCCCCTGGAGCCAGTGAGCTTCCCGGTGGCTTCCTCCTGCCTCCTGTGTGAGTCCTGCTTCTCTCTCATTCACCTCCTGCTTATGCAGGCAAAGGCCAGGGGGCTGCAGACCCATGGCCAGAACTTGGGTAGCTGAATTGGTCAAGCTCCAGGACGCAGACCTGCCTGGCTGCTGGCAGGTCAGAATTCTTGGGCCGTGCCCACCACCTCCCTGCCCAGGAGGCATCAACACAGACCATGTCAGCTCTCCTATTCACACAAATAAAATAACTTTCATTTGTGCGTCAGCATGGAACATTATTACTGACTAATGTCCCTGGCTTGCACTAAGGTTCACTCTTGGTATTGTACACTCTATGGGCTTGTAATGACGTATGTAGGGGCCAAGGAAAACTTCCCCTTCACCCTTTGAAGTTTCACTGAAAATTAACTGACAAAAGGCAGACGAATAGGAGAAAAGGCACACACATCTATTTGGTCATAGTTTTACATGACAGGGGAGCCTTCGGAATGAAGACCCAGAGATGCAGGGGACACTGCCCACTTCTATGCTTAGGCACAATAAAATATGTAGAAATGTGATTGGACAAAAAAGGGAATGATCTAACCCCCATAAAGGGAGTAGGGCCCCCCACAAGCCCTGTCTAGATTCCTCGTGGCCTCTCTGGGCAGCACTGCTTCCTGCTGGGTACGGGGCAGGGCCCTCTCTGGAATGGGGGTCTCATGACCTACCACCAAACACGGCGGGTCAGATGACTTCCTTATGACACATTTGCACACGGAAGGGTGGTCAGGGGTGGAAGTTAGAGTAACATTTTTAGGTTTTATGACTGGCTTTGGGGAAAAGGGGTTTGAAAGTTTCTATGACCCACCTTGGGAAAAAGGACTTCTGATTTCTATGGCTGACCTCGGGGGAGAATGAGGTCAGGGATGGGGGGGCAGGGGAAACTTTTGCTTCTGAGGCGTTCATTTGGGGGTATTGTTTTCTGAACCCCAGCTCACATATCCACCATTCTGGTATGATATGGAATTGTTTCACCGGCCTTAAAATCCTCTGTCCTCTACCTTTTCATCCTTCCCTCTTAACCCCTGGCAATCACTGATGTTTTCACTGTTTCTATAGTTTTGCTTTTTCTAGAATATCATACAGTCATGTATAGCTGTAGCTTTGCAGGTGGGCTTCTTTCACTTAACAATATGTATTTAAAGTCTTTCTGTGGCTTCATAGCTCATTAGAAAAAAAAAGAAATTCAAGATTTTAACTCATTTCTTTTTTTTAATCACCAAATAATATTGCATTGTCTGAATGTACCACAGTTTACCCATTCACCTATTGAAGCACATCTTGGTTGCTTCCAGGTTTTGGCAAGTATGAATAAAGCTACCATGAACATTCGTGTGCAGGTTTTTTGTTGTTGTTGAGACGGAGTCTCACTCTGTCGCCAGGCTGGAGTGCGGTGGTGTGATCTCAGCTCACCACAACCTCCGACTCCCTGGTTCAAGCGATTCTCCTGTCTCAGCCTCCTGAGTAGCTGGGATTACAGGTGCGTGCCACCACGCCCAGCAAATTTTGTATCTTTAGTAGAGATGGGGTTTCACCATCTTGGCCAAGATGGTCTTGATCTCTCGACCTCGTGATCCACCCCACCCGCCTCGACCTCCCAAAGTGCTGGGATTACAGGGTAAGCCACCCTGCCTGGCCTGTGTGCAGGTTTATTTTTATTTATTTATTTATTTATTTTATGAGACAGAGTTTCACTCTTGTTGCCCAGGCTGGAGTGCAATGGCACAATCTCAGCTCACCGCAACCTCTGCCTCCTGGGTTCAAGTGATTCTCCTGCTTCAGCCTCCCAAGTAGCTGGTATTACAGGCATGTGCCACCACGCCCAGTTAATTTTGTATTTTTAGCAGAGATAGGGTTTCTCCATGTTGGTCAGGCTGGTCTCGAACTCCCGACCTCAGGTGATCAGCACACCTCAGCCTCCCAAAGTGCTGGGATTACACGTGTGAGCCACCGTGCCCGGCCTGTGTGCAGGTTTTTATATGGAAGTTTCCAACACATTTCGGTAAATACCAAAGAGTGTGATGCCTGGATCCTATGGTAAGACCATGTTTGACTTTGCAAATAGTATTTTAAACTTAATTTTACTCTGGATGTTTCATGTTTTAACGGGATTACTTGGTTTAGGGATTTGCAACCCTTCCAGCAAGAGCAAGAGCCTTCCTAAATCCTCGGGGTGTGACAGCCCAGGGTCCCCTCCCTCCGTTCCTCAGCCTCCCTGTCATTCTCCATTCAGCTGAAGCTGCTCTCAAACCCACCTGGATTCTACATAAGTGGCCGGTTCATACCTTTTCCAAGGCAGGAAAGTGATTGTTGAGATTTAAAACCAGCTAAGATGCAGTTCCTGCTGAGGGTGCACAAAGATCTCATTTATATCAAGCTAAATAGTTTAGAATGTCAATCAAATTTGAAAGGAATATTTTGGGAAATTTCTGAAATATAGTCAAACTCATTGTAATATACATTATTCTAATATGACCTGAATTTTTATATGTTTTCCTTCTTTCTCTTCCCTGAATGCGTTTTTCTTACTGAATCGCCCCTTCCTTTTCTCGACATGCATACCTCTAACAGGCGGGGCAAGTCATATTTGTCTTTGTAAAGCCTAAGTAAATATTTATTGAACGAGTATTTTGGAGAAAAGTATCTTGTTTTCCTTCCGGTTTGGCAAGGTCTTTCCACTGAGTTCATCTTTGCAGGGGTGACCCCACGAGCAGCATTGGAATGTCATTCACATGCTGACTTCACATGTGTTGAAATGTACTATTGACTTCCCCAGGTCATAGAATCTTGGAGGAGATGATCAGGGTAGGAGTTGAACCTCAGGGGCGAGTCTTGGGTTTCCAGGCCTTTCTCGTCAGCTCCTAGAGGAGTCTGTTGCTGCCATCAGAGTCCTTGCACACTGTCCCTTGGGGTCTCGCCACTCCCTATACCATGGAGGGTCTCTGCCGTCCCATCACCAGGGGTACCGTCACCTCAGCTTTGCCCCAGCAGTTCCTGCCAGTTTCCAGAGGAGCTCCTGGTGCCTTGGGCCCCTGATAATGTGCTGCTCTGTAAGCGCTGTAAGCCCGTCAGCCCCGGGTTTTCCATTCTTACCAAGCTCCTCAAAGGAAGCCTGTTGATGGCTGGTTTGTCTGATTAACCTGTGCTGCCCTCCACTGAAGGAACAAACTCAAGTTTCCAGACACCATTTTGAATGACATGTCACACTCAGCATCTCTCCTCCTCATGACCCAGGTGTGGCTCAAGAAGAGCCCTGCTCACGGGGACCCTCCTCCCACCTCACAAGAGGATAACTCACCCTCCCTGCTGTGTTTAGGGGCCCTAATTTTGGCATCCTGGGTCTTGACTGGCAGCTCCGGTGTCCTCACCTTTTCTCCCCTAGGGTGTGAGCTCTCTGAAAAGCGGAGTTTCGGTGGACCCTGCTCCCATTCCAGAATCGCTGAGTGGGGCGTGCTGAGTGGGCCCTGCTTTAGTTAGGGTAGGCTGAACCACCATTAAAAAAAGATCCCAAGGCATGCTGGCTGAAATATGGAAGTGTATTTCTAGACCACCTTCTTGCGTAGAGGCTCCAGGGCAGCAGCTGGCTCTGTGCTGTGTGGTGACTCAGGGACCCAGGCTTTTTCCAGCTATGATTCCATCAACATCCAGGGACTTTGAGCTACTGCAAGGGGAACAGGAGTGTGGAAGGGGCAGCCTGCTGTCTCAGAAGCCCCTCACTCCACTGGCCAGAATTCAGTTTGTGGCCACCCCAAATGCAAGAGGGGCTGGTAAATACTGCCTAGCTCTTGCCCGGCAAAAAGGAGAGAATGGGTTTTAGTGGAAAGCCAACAGTCCCTGCCACAGATCCCATTACTCTTCCTCCAATTGCTCCTTCTCTTACCTGCCTACTCGCCCCATGTGTCACTCTTGCAATGCAAAGGATTGAGGTTTTTATAACTCCAGGACTAATACAATCAATGCAAAGGATTGAGGTTTTTATAACTCCAGGACTAATACAATCAAGAGGCAGCCACCTACTGCTCCTAAGAAGCAGATAATAGAATCTGCTCACCAAGGAGTAATCATTGCTCTCTTGTAACACACATCATATCCTAGCACTGGTCTACATTAATGTTCTTTGAGTTTTTATTTTGTTTGTTTTAAAATTTATTGTCCATGCTGTTATTCATTATCTCCAGGCCTCACTGACGTGTACAAGTTCCAGGGGAAATAAAAGCCAAACATTAGCAAATATCTTCCCTGAGCACAAATACATTTCAGAGCTTCCAGCTCACTATCAGTCTTGTGATATTAACCTTTGAATAGGTTATGTGAATCCCATTCAGGCACATTCAATGTGTTTACAATTATATTGTTCGCAGAAAACAGGACCAGACTTGGGATTACAACCTTTGATACAAGTGTGTAGCTTCCACCCCAACTCCAATGAAGGCTGGTCCTCGAATCTGCCAAGGAACAACAGAAGTCAAGTTGATTTAGGGGCAGATAGACATCTGAATAATGTGCACTTTGGGTGTGGAGATGGGGGAGGAGCAAAGGGAGAAGAGGGGATCAAAGGTGGCATCTCCAGAAATTGCATGGTGGTCCATGGAAATTTGTCCAACTGGAGGTAGCCGTCTACCTTGTGATAACAGACTCCCCCAGTTTTGTGTCACCCCAGGTTCCCTTTTCTTTTCCTAATTCTTCTTATTGTGAGTGCCCTGCTAAGGGGCTCTGTTCTTATTTTTCTCCCTCTTTGTGCCTCAGAGAAATTATTCTATCGTGTGATTTCTTGGGATTACTTTTATACCCAGGCCTCTCAAATCAACATCTCCCACCTGAGACTTCACCTGAGGCTCCAGGTGGGCGAAGCCAGCAAGGCACTTCCCTGAGATGTTCCATGTCGCATCAGACTCTGTCAAAGGCAGAACAGAGCTCAGCTGTCACGTGGGATTTCCAGCCCTTTCTGTTGAAGGCATCTATCTCCACATTGCTAGACAGGGGGTTGTGCCTGGGCCAAGTCTTGCTGTAGGCAGGACCCATGGGTTGATGACACTAACCCAAACATGCTGGAGACATCTTTTCTTCTTATCAGTTTACAGCTGCTCACACGTAGTCACCAAAGTCTGTGTTTTCTGTCACGCTGCCCCCTGAATTCATTTCTTCCTCCTCACTTCCATTCCTACCACTGCATCCCCACACAGAATGCCATCATCTTTGACCCCACACTCCACACTCCAACCTGGCTACACATCACCTTCTTTGCAAGTTTAGTTCCATCCAACCCCATGATGGTTCTTTCTTAAGGAATGTTCCCAGGAAAGAGATGACAGCTTTCTGGCTGAGGCATATTGGAGCCCTAGCAGTAGGGATTGCTAAAGGAGGCAGAAAACCAGGAAAAGCTGGGCTCAGGGCTATGGGGACAACCATGTTGACAGGGCCTATAGGGAGGAGAAGACCTGGTGATACTCACATTAATCATGCTGGTCACAGTGGCCTTGGAAACCCAATCTTAATTCCAGCTGGCATCACTGTCCAAGAGCATCCCATCAGTTGGGAGGACAACAGGAGCTTCTGGGCAGCAGGAACGCTCAGTCAAGTAACAGGCAGCATCATGGTGCAGATGGCTTTTCCATTGGAGCTCCCCTTTCTCTTGGGGTGTGATCCAGTGTCCTCAACTTAGAAGACAAAGCCTTTTGCAAACCGCCACATCCATCCTACTTCCCAGCATGAATCTGGTATCCCAGCTACCAATGGAATCATCTCCCACCTGTCACAGCTGTGTGCCCACCTGGTTTCTGAGCTGATCTGAGCACTGTGGTGAGGTAATAGGACTCGCTCTCCCCACTTCAAGGTCCAGAGTTCATTTGCTGCCACAGACTCCCTGAGCTGCCTGAGCTGCAGGCTTCTTTTCTCTCATCCTCTGGGGGATGGACTTTAGCTTTGGTCTTCCCCACTGGAAATTCACTTTGACTCTAAAACCAGGCCCACAGACTGACGGCTGACCTCCTGCCTGCTCTGGATAGCCTCTCAGGAGCTGGATTCAGCAGAGTTACAGCCTTAGAGGCAGAATCTTGGGCCTTCAATGGGGACTACTACACCCCGGTAATGCACTGCCCACACAAAAGCTACAAGCATCCCTAATTCACCTCTGAGTCCTCTTCAAATTCTTCCTTGGTCTTCTGCTAGATTCTCCATCCCAGATGGAGTTTGTGCCATTTGGAGCTGGGTATTCTGCTGCTAACACACTCACTGACCTCAGTTTGTCCTGATGCCATCCATCACTGTTCCAGGGCTTAAGATCTTGCTGATACTCTTCAATGTGTGACTTGGAAAGCTTCCATTTCCAGGTTCAGTCCTCTCCACCTTGATGGCCCCCTGCCTGGGCCTCTGCTCCAAATTCCTTGTGAGAACCCCCTGCTGTCTCCCCTTCTCCCAGTTTTAACTCTCCCAGGTACCAGTGCCTGGACTGCATCCTGCATGCCAAGGCCTGGACACCATTAGGCACTGCCCTCTTTCTCCCTGGCACTGCCTCCATCAGCAGTCTGCAGTGGCTGCTGGTCCTTCCAGCTCAGGACCCCTTCTACTGCTCCTTTCTCTCCCTACCAGCAGGGAAGACTTCTGTGTGCTTCCTGTTGCCAGAGCCCACACAGGAACTGAGGGCCACTTCCACCTGCCCCCCTTCCTTCCCACTGGTTTCCCTGCCTGAAATCCCTGATCCATTGCATTTTGTCTAGGCTTACCTGCACATTGTTCAAGGTCCATGGTCTTCCATGGAGCCTCCTCTGATAAGCCTGCAGGGGATTTAAGTTCTATCTCATTGTGTTAACCCATTCTCACACTGCTAATAAAGAGACATCTGAGACTGGGTAATTTCTAAAGGAAAGAGGTTTAATTGACTCTCAGTTCTGCATGGCTTGGGAGGCCTCAGGAAACTTACAATCATGGCACAAGGGGAAGCAAACATGTCCTTCTTTACATGGTGACAGCAAGAAGTGCCAAGCAAAAGGGGGAAAAGCCCTTATAAAACCGTCAGATCTTGTGAGAACTCACTCACTATCATGAGAACAACATGAGGGTAACCACCCCCATGATTCAATTACCTCCCACCAAGTCCCTCTTGCAACACGTGGGGATTATAGGAACTACAATTCATGATGAGATTTGGAGGTAGGGAGGGGAACAGTCAAACCATATTACTTGTTCAAGACCATTGGTTTGGGGTAGCTTTTACCAGACCCAGGTGGGTAGTACTTAAGCAGAGTCCTCCACTCTGGGATTCAAAGGGAACAAAAACTCCGCTATATTGCTTCACAGGGCTAGAAGTAAATAAACCATCCCTCAATAGAAGCTTTTAACCACAAAGCAGTTGTGGGGTAAGGCACACTTTGTCTTTGGACAGAAGACAGTGTAGAAACCCCAGGCGAATCCCATCTCTAGGGGCTGTGGCCAAAAGTTACTGCTTCCTTTGTTGGGGGGAATATATTGTGACCTTAGGAGGTTTGGGTGAAATTTTTACCCTAGCTGCCCCTAGAGGTGGAAGTTTCTCCAGGTGTGGTCCTTGGACCACCTGCATCAGAACCATCAGTGGTGCTTGTTAAAATGAAGATTGCTGGCCTTCCCCAGACCTACTGAACAAGAAATTTGTAAGGCAGGGCCCAGGCATCTGCATCCTTATCAGGTACTGTCTCTAGTGGCTCAGATGTGGTCAGGTGTTAGGCACAAGATGCTGTCATCAAGGGCCTTGCAGCATACCTTGGGGTCCTGGGGCCTCCCGCCTCAGTTGAGAGACCTGTTGGACCCACTTCATGGCTCCAGGCTGAGTCAACCCTGATTTTGGCAATGTACCCTATGCCATTTTGCCTAAGTGGGCATTCTATGGATATTTGTTGAACTAAACCAGTACCCTTGCAGGCCAGGCATTGTCTGCTCTATTTTGGGGGGCCACCCACTGGGACACAGAAAGTGCGCAATCTATTCCTGACAGTAGATTGATGAAGGCGTGGGTCCAGGCTGTATCAACAAAAGTAAAGAGAAGAGGAGACAGACACTTTAGTTATCACCCAGCCACATGGCTCCTCCAGTGGTTTCTGGAGGCAGAAGAAGCTGTTTCATTCATGTTCACTGTTCATAGATTCTCGGCTAGGCAGGGACACCCTTGGCATGACTCAGGAAAGGCAGACATCAGCACAGATGAGTTTTCTGAGAAAGAGCCTACACTAGTAAGCGAATGAAGTCAACCTTGAGGGCCTTTCATAATGACATGGCCAGACAGAACTTCTGTGGGCAGTTTTGGCTATTGTTCTCTAGCATTAGTTATATCAGCTGTCCTTGGTATACTTCTGGTGTGGCTGGTAAACTCCCACAAGGACTCTGGTCCTCATAAATGTCACGGGGAGAGGCTATCCCATGGCAAAGGTCATGGCCAGGTCTTACTCAACAAACAGCCTGTTTGGCAATGCCCTGTGGGCCTGCTTGGAGGTATCATGTATGGCTTCTGTCTACAGCTGTCCCTCAAGTCCTCCCAGTTTCCAGCAGAATGATGTGGGAGTCAGTGACTGGGATGGCCTCTCTCACTTACTCAAGGTGAGGGGGAGGTGCCTAACCAAGGAACTTGCTGGAAATGAGCTGACCTTGCTTCTCTGGACTCCTGGATTTTTGAGCCTCTTGCAGGGTCTGACTGGGGCCTGGGATCACTCAGTTTAAAAGAAGAGTAGGTATTTGAATGTGGCCTGGAGAAAACTTAAATCATCTGGATACAATTTTCTCATAAGTCAAAGTCCAAAAGGAAATCAGGAAAGGCTGAAATAGCCCTCGGACAACGCTCTAACAACCAAAAATGAAGGGTCTCTTGCTGGATCTGGGAAATGCACATAACACAAGCATGGGAAGAAGTGCAAATGATTGACCCATGAGGATCATGCTCATTCATGCTCATGAAAAGCAAATCACCTTCATTCATGTCTCAATCAATCAACAAGCATTTACCAAGCATTCACTACAGGCCAGCCTCTCTGCTGGCCTACAAAAGCTATGCAGAACAGCCGCTGGCCTCAAAGGCTCAGATTCTGAGCCTTACTTTGAATCCTAAATATTCCATTTTTCAGTATCTTCCATACTTCTATAGTTGAAATCTACTTGTCATAGAGTACTCAGTTGCAAGCAACTTTACCTGACTTGAAATGAAAAGAAATTTAGTAGTAAATATGTAACTGAAAGGTTGAGGAACTAAGCTCAGAAAAAGGCAGAAACTATGAGAGGCTGTACAGCAGGAAGCACCACTGGGTAACACTGCAGGAATAAGTACAGGAATAAGGAATAACCCCATTGTCATCACAGCAAGATCCAGGACTCCAGGGTTTGCACCACCCACACCCTGGCACTGTACTCTGCACACCACAGCCGCAGCCTCTGCCCCGGCTGCCACTGAAACTTGAGCAGATTCTCTACAATCCCTGTCTTTTTAATCATTAGTTGTCAACTCTAAGTCTGGGACCAGAGTCCTGAGCCACATGCCCACATCCTAGCTGCAAGGGAAGCTGGAAATAGAGTATCTGGAAGTTTCTGGTTTTTAGGGGGAGGTGGGCACCCATGCATGAGGCACAGAATTTCACAAACATAGGAAGGGGTTCAGATGCAGGGCAGCCAAAATCAATCACAAATGTTCACCACACCTCCCATATCTTGCACAGGAACAGGAAGTATGAATGTGAAAGAATAGCAATTAGTTAGTTTTTTTTTTTGTTGTTTTTTTTTGAGACAGAGTCTCACTCTGTTGCCCAGACTGGAGTGCAGTAGTACAGTCTCGGTTCACTGCAACCTCTTCCTCTCGGATTCAAGCAATTCTCATGTCTCAGCCTCCCAAGTAGCTGAGATTACAGGTGTATGCCACCACACCTGGCTAATTTTTTTGTATTTTTAGTAGAGATGGGGTTTCACCACGTTGGCCAGCTGATCTTGAACTCCTGGCCTTAAGCTATCCATCCGCCTCGGCTTCCCAAAGTGCTAGAATTACAGGTGTGAGCCACTGCACCTGGCCAATTTATATGTTTTTTAAAAGGAATTATTCAGACTAGGCATTGTGCTGGTTGTCAATTCAATAAGCTTCTGCCCAGTGGGAGTTGGGGGATTCTTAATGAAAAGGGAGCCCTTGAAGAGTGTGAAGGTTTGGGAGAGGTGGGGAGGAGTGGAGAGGGACCTCAGCCTGGGGAAACTACACAGTGGTGGGGAGTTAGCTTGACACAGTGTTGGGGCAGTGAGGTCACAAGGCCTTCTCTACCTCTGTGGTCAAATCTTCCTCTGCCTCCCTCTTCTAAGGACCCCGGTGATACATGCAGGGCTGCCCAGATAATCCAGGACAAACTCTTACCTCAAAATCCTTAATTCAGTCACATCTGCAATGTTCTGTATGCCGCATATGGTGACATTGATAGGTTCCAGTGATTAGGATGCAGATGTTTTGGAGATTACCACACTCACCAAGCTGGTAACTCCCTATCTCCCTTCCAGGTTCTGCTCAGACTTCATCATTCTCCTCTGAGTGGCCTCCCCGATCCCCAAGGTTGTGTTCGGGGCTGCACCTTTGCTCTCCACAGCCCCCAGATCCCTGCTGAAGCTCCCTGAAGTGCCCTGGATTGCAACTGCCTTTTCGCCTCTCTTCTCGCAACTATTAGCAGCTTGAGGGCTGGATCTCATCCGCTTTCTTCCTCTCAGTATCGTAAAGATCCGGCACAGCATACATGCTTGAGATGTTTGCAGGAAGGAAGGGGTCCCTTCTGGCTGACAACCCCAGGATGAAAAGGCCTGATGACGTGGGCACAGAGGTCCCCTATTTAAAGTGATAATGGGGCCCGAAGAAAGCAGGGCTATGGCTGGGAGTGCTGGTGGACCAGGCCACATTATGCCTTGTGGGTGTGCCCCTTACATCTGGACTCCAGAGCTTTGCACAAGGAGTGCAGCAGCCCACCACTAAGAGAGCCCCCAGGTCCCTCTGGTCATATCTGTTGCTCACTGCAACTTTCCTGTCACTCTGACCCCAGGGACATGACCTTGGGGGGAAAGTGCTGGGAGTCCAACCTCACTGTACTTCTGAGGTGGTCTGTAACTGGCTCACTTAGACATTGATTAACTTTTCAAGGAAACACAATCATTAGGCAAATTCCATCCACCTATCAGGTAAGGTAAAAACATCAGCAAACATTAACCCAGACCCATGGGTTTACAGCTCACAGCTGCCCCAGGGCACACTGGCAGTGGCAGCTTGCCTCGGGTCCAGGTAGCTGCTTGGTTAAAGGGGATAAAATTCACAGTCCTGTGCAACAGATACAGGAATATGACCCTTGGAATGGGGGCCTGCGCATCACCAACGTTTATGAATCAGCAAGAAACACAAAACCCACATGCCCTCCAAGGCTGAATGACAGCTCACGCTGCATCTGTTCATCTCTGACAAGGCTAACCTAGTTTTAACTATTTATGCTAAAACTTATAAGCCACTAAAAATGTCCGGCAGAATGAGGATACGAGGGAAAGAAGTCTGGGTAATCTGAGACCCTGCTGCGCTCTGCTCTTCAGCCTCACTGGCAACAAGCTCGGGCTGTTTCTGGGGAGTCCTTTGCTGTGTGGGCAAAGCAGAAAGGGTGGGAGAGGTTTCTGTGAGTTTCTGTTGGAAGGGTAGGGGTGGAAACAGAGCTAGGGAGTCTAATCTACCCTCAAAAAGCATAAACCTCTCCGAGACTGCTAAGGCCAGGGCAATATAGGACGGAGAAACCCCCTCCATGAAGCCCACCAGGCCACTCTGCTATCACAACCCCCTCAGGTGTCTGGGTGCTGGTGGCTGGACATTCTGGAACTCACAGTCAAAGCACTGGTCATATTGGCAGCACCAACAGCTTTGCTCCAAGATGATCCCTCAGCTGATGGTCTTTGACCCTTTTTATGCAGTTCAGAGGCCTTCACTCCCTGAATTTCCCCAAGAATCACCCTTCTACCCTCTACATTCCCCTTCCCTTCTCACTGCTCTGCATCTTTAAGCTACACCTTCACTCTGTTACCTCCTCCAGCTGGAGTCCTGTGCCCTCCAGCATCCTGGGAAAGGGAGAAAGATGACCCCAAGAGAGGGATCTCGGGATGAATAAGAACTATTCACGCGAGCCTCTCATGTCACATGACTCATATCAGTTATATAAAACTTGGGTTTGTTTTCTCTGTCATTAACCCTGACTTGACAGGCACCCTAGGGCCATAATTAAGAACATGAATTTGGGGATCAGACAGACCTGGGTTAGTGGTGGCTCTGTTATTTATAAACTGTGTGCTCTTGAGGAAGCTAACACACCATACTCTTCCTCAGTTTCCCTACCCATTCCCACTAAAATAACAGTGATACCCAGCTCACAGGGCAGTTATGAGAAGGAAATGAGATCTTGCATGAAAAAGGTTTAATGATTCTTTGTATGCATAGTGAGTGTAATTGACGTAATAGGATTGTGGGTAATATAAAAACCATGTAAAGAAACTTTGGTTAGAAAATGCTGGTGAATCAACCACTGTGACCTCTATCTTATATTCAGGGTGGATGAAGTTGAGTGGGAAACTTTCCCAAAAGCACATGGGAGGTAAGTTCCTATAGGGATGCGATTGTGCAAGCTGCTTCCAAATACCACCTGGATCTCCAAGCAAACGAGCGTCATATCCGAATCCCGCATTGCTTTTGTGGAGAATCTGGCCCACAGCAAAGCATCTCAACAGACAGGATCACGCAAAGTTTTTGTGCTGGGGAGGGGCTGGGCCATCCAGCTTCAGAGTGTAGGTCTGAAAAAAAAAGACCAAATGGTTCAGGGATCGCTTTATCTCACCTAGTCAGCAGCCTGATGGGGCCCAAAACTACTTTATCAGGTCAGAACCTTTAAAGAAGGAACTGCTCAGGGCTGAAGTAACCACAAACAGATCCAACTGGTTTTTGTGTTGGGTAATATTTGTTTGACATTATGTCCAGATGTCTAGGTTGTGAGACACATATCCTTAGCATCAAAAAGTGTTTGTAAAATTCTTAGTTGAGCTCCATAGTGAGTTAGATCCTGGCATGAATCAAACTGAAACCAAATTAGAGGTGCCATCCGTGTAAGGAACAGGCTGGAGCCAGTCCCTAGTTTCAAAAAAGTGGTAACCAAACTAAAGGAATTATCTGGGAGCAAAAAGGACTTGCTCAATGTTCTCAGCTGTTTTCCAACTCCAGGAAAAATGCTACATCATGGACATGGCAAAATAATCAAGAGCTTTGTTAAGATCTATTTTCCCAGGGGAGTCCGGGACAGGGAGAGGGCCCCCTCCCTGGGAACACTTGGCTGATTTCCATTGCCGGGCATTTCATAAGATGCCCTGCTTAGCAACCTCTTAGAAGTGTGAGAAGTCAGCACTCCACCCCCCCCCGACCCCCCCACCCAAAAAAAAACCTTCCCCCTGCTGTGCTGGGTTACCCTTTCTTGGCCTTTCTTTGAAATCTAAGCATCCATATCCTCTCTTTGGGGATGACTTTCTCTTCTAGCAAAGAAGTGGAAATGGTTTTATTGGTTCTTGGTTTTTTTTTTTTATATCCTGGTGCTGGCTATAATTTCAGATTTGTATTTTTAGGTTTGACTTTGGGTAGCAGAATGGAACACAAGCAGACCAAGTCAAGAACTTCCATACAGAATCAGCTAGGGACAACATTTGCTCCCCTCCTGGGAGACGCTCTCAGCGTAGCATCCTAAGAAGGAAACTGTCCCTAAGTGTCATTCTTGTGAAAAAAGATGGAAGTAAAAATAAGAGCCTTCATCAGCTGACTTAATCTCAACAAAGCCCCGCTTATACCTGGGCCTTAGACAATGACAACAAACTTCTCCACAAACATACTAATATGTTTGTAGCATCTGAAAAATTATTTGTATTCACAGTTAATTTTAAAAGAGCTCTATGACTGAGATGCTGTTATCTTTAAAATAGTCTGAAAATTACATCCTGTATTTGTCCGTTTTCACGCTGCTAATAAAGACATAGCAGAGAATGGGCAATTTACAAAGGAAAGACTCTGTGTGGCTGGGGAAGCCTCACCATCATGGCAGAAGGGCAAGGTGGAGCAAGTCACATCTTACGTGGATGGCAGCAGGCAAAAAGAGAGCTTGTGCAAAGAAACTCCCATTTTTAAAACCATCAGATCTTGTGAGACCTGTTCACTATCACCAGAACAGTATGGAAAGACCTGCCCCCATGACTCAGTCATCTTCCACCAGGTCCCTCCTACAACACGTGGGAATGATGGGAGTTACAAGATGAGATTTGGGTGGGGATGCAGAGCCAAATCATATCATATCCTTACTTTGATGGATAAGAGGTGAAGGAATTGGAAAATAGAGGAAGAAACACACTTCATCCCCCACACCACTCCATTTCCTATGAACGTTTAAACTACTCATGCACACTTTTTTTTCTTTTCTGTTTGAGGCAGGATTTTGCTCTGTCACCCAGGCTGGAGTGCAGTGGTGCAATCACAGCTCACTGCAACCTCAACCTCCTAGGCTCAAGTGATCCTCCTGCCTCCACCTCCTGAGTAGCTGAGACCACAGATTCGTGCCACCCACCGCAGATAATTTTTATTTTTTTGTACAGACAGGGTCTCACTATGTTGCTCAGGCTGGTCTCAAACTCCTAGGCTCAAGCAATCCTCCTGCCTCAGCCTCCCAAAGTGCTGGGATTATGGGAATGAGCCACCGTGCCCAGCCGAGGCAAACTTTCTTAAGCAAATTGAAGACCAATTTGAAATATTGGAGTAACTGGTGATAAAGTATTTCCTGCTGACAATTTAAAGCAAATAATGTTGCTGTCAAACCTTTACCACTGAGGTCACTTGGCAATTCAGAGCAACTCTGGCATCAAAGAAATTCTGAAAGTGGATTCAATGTGCTTAGAGCAAGGTTAGAAGACATAGAACATTTGAGCTAAAAACTAAGATGGGAAATTGGGCCTTTGTATTCTGTTGAGTGAGCACACAGAGAATTTTCTAGACATACTTGATTTGATTTTAGTTTTTGAGACATGGTCTCACTATGTTGTCCAGGCTAGTCTCAAACTCCTGGGCTCCAGTGATCCTCCCGCCTCAGCCTTCCAAGCAGCTAGGATTACAGGTGTGAGCCACCACACCCAGCTGTGAAGTATTGGTTTTAAAAAGTTGCATTTGTGTGGATGGGGCATGCTAGAGTATAAGACTAGCGAATAACATCCTAGAAGCAATGACTATTGCCTGGGCTAAGTTATCATCATGCCTCTAGTAGATGTTGTGAGATTTACAGTAGGAGCTGAATATATGGGGATGACAATCATCTTTGAGCATTTTCTAGTGTACATAGACACTAGAGGGGCCCCAGAAGCCTTCTGGTCTACCAGTTTCAGAACACTCAATGGTCAGTCCTCCTGCCTCCACCTCCTGAGTAGCTGAGACCACAGATTCGTGCCACCCACCGCAGATAATTTTTATTTTTTTGTACAGACAGGGTCTCACTATGTTGCTCAGGCTGGTCTCAAACTCCTAGGCTCAAGCAATCCTCCTGAGGCAGGCTCTGGTGTCAGCTGAACTGGATTGGAATCTTGGCTCCACCATTCACTAGTAAGTAATTCAACCTCTCTATGTACCACTTTCTTTATCTGTCAAATGGGAATTATTATATGACTTGTATCTTTCAAGGTCCTTGAAGGATAACCGAGGTGATGCATGCAAAAGCTTCAACATGCTTGTCAACCACAGACTAAAAATGCATTTGATGTGAGACTCTCCACTATCTCCCAAAGGCCACAGCAAGAGGGTGATGTCATCAGGAAGCTTGTATTAAATTTATATAGACATTAAAGACCAGTTTCAAGCAGGCTTAAAACTAAAAATGTCAATATACACTGTTGCCCCCTTTTTTTTGAGGCGGAGTCTCGCTCTGTCGCCCAGGCTGGAGTGCAGTGGCCGGATCTCAGCTCACTGCAAGCTCCGCCTCCCAGGTTCACGCCATTCTCCTGCCTCAGCCTCCCGAGTAGCTGGGACTACAGGTGCCTGCCACCACGCCCGGCTAGTTTTTTATATTTTTTAGTAGAGACAGGGTTTCACCGGGTTAGCCAGGATGG